AGGACAAGAGATAGAACTCTGTTCTGGTATAGTATGTGGGATAGGTGAGTATTTGTAGCTGTGGGATCCCCTTTTTGTCTTTTTCAGGAGATTGGGTGATTATGGTGATCAGGGTGTTTTTTGTTATGGGTGCATTGTTGTGATAAGGGGGCAGATGATCTGTCACTGTGATTGATGGGTGTTCTTAGCTAGTCTTTTGTGTGCAGTGATCACCCGTCCTTGTGGCTGGGTAGAGCTTGTTGACCTTTTTGCAGGCAGTATTTTTCAGTACTGGGAGCCATCTGAATTGGGCCCTACAGATAAATGGCTATTCCAAGAATGAAAGCACAAGAGCCATCAAACCGAGAAAACAACACCGAACTGAAGAAGAAAAACAGTCACCCACAAATAAAGTATTTCTGCCATACATCAAAGGAGTCACAGACTGCATGGGGAAACTTTTGGAAAAACACAACCTACAAACAGTATTCAGCCCCACCACAAAAAGACAACAAATGTTATGGTAAGCAAAGGACAAAAGGGACCCCCCTCACCACTGCAGGAGTATACCGGATACCTTGCAGATGTCAGAGGATGAGATGGTTGGAGAGTGTCATCAAAGCTACCAACATGAATTTGACCCAACTCCAGGAGGCAGTGGAAGACAGGAGGGCCTGGCGTGCTCTGGTCCATGGGGTCATGAAGAGTCGGACACGACTTATTGATTAAACAATATATTGGGACACAAAATGCAGGATCCACACCAGAATCAAAGAACATGAAAGACATTGCAGACTCAAGCAACCGGAAAAATCTGTGGTAGCTGAACATGCCCTGAAACAAGCTGGACATGAAATCCTATTTCAGAACACAGAAGTACTGGACAACACTAGCATTCATTATATTAGACCACACAGGGAAGCCATTGAAATCAACAAACATCAGCAAAGCTTAACAAAAAAAAAGAAAGTCTAAAACTCAACAAAGCCTGGCCCCCAGCACTGAAGAATACAGCCTGCAAAAAGGTCAATGAACTCTACCCAGTGGTGATCACTGCACACAAAAGGACAAAAAGTTGATCCTACAGCTACTCAACTATTTCACACACTGCACTGGAATACAGAGAGAGTTCTAACTCCTGTCCTCTGAAGATGCCGGCCACAGAGACTGGCGAAATGTTAGGAAGAAAAACCTGCAGAACATGGCCAAACAGCCTAAAAAAAACTACAACAACCATTCCACAGATTATTTGAAAGTGGCCAAGCTAAACAAAAGAAACTACAAGACAATCCAGAGAGAAACAGTTGAGATAAAATATATACGTATGCTAGACACACACATCAAAGGGCTGAATATAGGCCAAGGCTTTTTGGGGCACTGCCACATATAAACACTAAAAATATTGTACTGTACTGCATCTCCTAAATATTTCCTACTGCCCCAACAGATCCACCTTAAAAATTTCCAAGACAAAATATAACTTTTACTGTGCTCTTGTGATCATCCATTGTCTGGAGTAATTCACACACATTGTAGTTGATTACAAAGAAAAGCTTGTAGGAAAAAGTTCCGACTGCAAATAGCCCATCTAATTAATCTTCATATTACTCTGTCGCTACTATTTTACCATTGTTAAGTTATAACAGAGTTTCTCACATTCTGCACAGCACAAGCTTCTACTAAAGACCTGCATATCAAAGAGACTATCATCACAATGTTTCACACCCACTTAGTTTCTTACCAACCAACCATGATCTCTGTATTTTGTTATCTACAGCTTGATGCCATATATAAATATCTACCATGCGATACCTCCTTCTCTTACGTTTGATGAAGTGAACTCATCCACAAAAACTCACATAAAATGTTTAAAGTTAGTCTTTAAGGTGCTACCACATTTTTGTCTTTTAATTTTAATTTTTGTTTTCTTTTCATTTGTAATTTGAGACTCTAGGTTGGGAGATAATTAACAGATTGAGCTATACATTTCCCATAGGAAATGTATAGGGTGAAGGTAGATGGAGAGGGCAGGCAAACCTGGCTTGGAGAGGACCGTAGAAAGAGCTGTTGATTGATGAGGAAGGGGTTTTGGATAAGGGTCCCTTACCCAAGCTCAACTACAAGAAAGCCAAAAGATCTGGGAGGTAAGCCTGTTAAAAGTCTGCTGAATATCAGCTAGTCAAGACCTTCCACTGTGCCTCAGAAACCTTCATGGCAGATGGGCATTTGGAAGACAAAACTGTAAATGGCTCTATTGGGTAGCCCTGGGATACTCCGCCTTGTTGCTCAGCTTCCATCCTGGTAAGTGCAGCCAGTCTGGATTGGGGTGAAACGTATTCTGCAGTTCATGCTGCTGAGGAATAAACCTAGGAAGACTCACTGCCAGCTGTTTAAGGTCTGGGAGAATCAAAGCCTCCTCAGCCAGGTAGGAGCTAGAAGCACAAGCTTCAGCTTCCTCTCTCCTGAACTTGCAGTGGATGCTGGGCAAGAGGACTGGAAGAGGAAGAGATGTTCCCTTTTCAAGATGAAATGGCGAAGCTTTCCAGAAAAAAAAGTATCCAGACAATAGTACTTATTTATTTATTTGATTTATACCCCGCCTATCTGGGCGACTTGTCCACTCTAGGCGGCTAGTGAATCTGTGTTTGAGCTGCAGAGCCTGACTGCAGAGGTAGCAGCAGCCACTACCTCATGCGAAGACAGGTCCATGAGACAATTTGTATAGTTGAAATCATGAGGTGCAAAAGCTGTGCTAGAGACATTGAATCTATTAACACTGAGAATGGGTGTGGTGGTGTGCCTTCTCAAGCACCATTAGCTGTCTTGGAAGAGTGAGAGTAGGGTAGGTCTGGTGCAGGTAAAGGCACATAGATGTGTGACTGTAAGAGGAAGAGATGGGTGGCTTTTTGAAAAATCATGGTATCTGGAAACCATGTGACTGCAAGCAGTTGTCATTGTCTCTTTCCCTTAAGGTCTTGCCTGTCTCTCACAGTCTGGGCATTTCCCTTTTCCTTACCTACAGCATGTGAATGGCAGGGAGAACTTTATTTCCGAAGCAAGGCTGTAGAAAGGCTTAACAAAGATGCATCACAGCAGTGGAGTGGTCTGGACTATAAGGTGACAAAAGGCTAACCAGAATTACTTGTTTCCTGAGCTAGGTCAGTAGCCAAAGGGACTTGTGAAAAGTTGGACAGCTTGTGTTTGTATGCAGACATTTGGAATTGAGGGGGCTGTGATATAAATGAGCCCTTCTCCCAATAGATGAGAACTTAGCACTGAAATGATACCTCTCTGAAAGAATTGCACAGGGCTTGAACATGATCAGATTGTTATTGGTCAGGAGTGGGGGAGATGTGAGAAGAACGTAGGCAAACTCGCTCAGGACAAAAGGAGGACTGTGAGGGCTACCTGAAATTTAAAGGTACGGTGGTGCTTTGCTTTGGGTTGACTGAAAGCTGAGGCAAGCCACTGAGATGATAAAGGATTCTGCATTTGGTTCAGGCAGACTAGTCTGAGGTGACAGACAGTTTCAGAGAAAGAGTGGGTGAGGCTGAGGCTATAATGCTACCTTCAATGTGGTGGACGGCTCTCCCTTATGGAGAGATGAGGGAGTCGGAACCACTTCCATTTCTATTTTGCATCGGACTTTATGTAGAAGTCTTCATAGACTATTGCTCTGCCAGCTCTGAATGTTGTAGTGCCTTACATTCCTCATTTGCATTGCTAATGACTTGCCATTCAGGGGGACACACTGATGGAAGTACCAAAGCCCTTCCCCTCCTCTTCTGAGCAAGGCAAGAAATGGATGGATTCTCCTTGTCTTTGTCTTTGTAGAGTGCTGTAGGAAACATCTCCTAGGTTCTCAGTGCAAAAAGAGGTGTTCCCAGAACCTTCCCAAAGTACAAATCTCTTAATGGTGGAACTCTCAGGTAGCTTTGCAAAAATGTCCCTGGTGTCTGCATGTGGCCAATGAATCAAACTTTGCCCATCCCTAGTTTAGAGGTATGTATGGTAAATGGCAGATTATTTAAATCTGGGGCTACTGATTTCTGCTTTCAGATTTCTATTTCAAAATGCAATGGTTCATAATTCTAGAAAAATGTTTAAGATTGTACTGTGCTTTTCTGAATGGCAGGTTTTATTTTCTAATTCTGTTTTGGGGTGGTATCTGAAATATACTTCAAAGTACAGACATAATATGGAGGTAGTACTGAGCAGCAAAGTGTTCTTGCACTGCAGTTGCTGAGATGTGGCCTCGAACTGTGATAACACACTAGAGCACATGACGTGTGCTCTTTGAGGTATGATAACACATTAAAGGAATTGCAAAGACAGGGATGATTAGTGTAGCTGGAATGAAAGGTATTGGATGCATCTAGCATACAGTGCTATTTAAATAAAATGGAGAGGGACTTTTGTCTTTGGCCATTCAGTTCTTGGCCTTACATACTGCTGGTATGTGTTCCCTGAGATCTTTGTCAGATTAGAATTTGTCACTTAGGCTGAAAAATATTCCTTATCTATGGTGTATACAATTAGAGCCACTGGATTGCAGCTGTTGTCTGCAATATGGGATTAATACAAGCAACTAATTGCATGCCATGCTATGGATGTCCTATGCAATATTACCACTTCTAGCTACTCAGTTTGTTAGTTAGTGTGAATATACCAGAAGGCTGTGATTAGAAGTTGACAAATATCAACTCATTTCCAGATGGAAAGCATACTGTATTTCCTTGCTTGACAAAAATTTTGGGTGGAATCCACACCTATGTAAATAGCATAACTTCTAGACACAAACTAATGCAAGTTAAGAAATTTGCATAGGCATCTTTTGCATGCTAAGTCATGCAACTCGCTATGTACCGCATAATATTTATGGAGATTTTTTTTTAACTTACAGCAATTTGATTCCAAAAGTTACACTATTTGAATAATTGCACAATAAGATTTCTGCCTTTGAGTTCTGTAATGGAAGAACTTTAATTTGTAAAATGTCAGCTATTTTGTTTCTCTTGCAGGTGACCAACAAAAGACCAATCACGGTACTAGAAATACTTCAGAAGATCCGTCTTCATGTTTCTGTACCTCAGTGTGATGTGTTTGGATACTTCAGCATAGAATCTGAAATTGTGATTCTAATCATACCTGTTGATCAAAATCCCAAGCCTCTTCAGGTATAATTTATCATTTAGTTGTTTGCATGTGGTTTTATCTCTCTTGTTGGGCATAAATATATATTTTTAAGATTCTTTTATACAGCTATGCAGATTTATGTTTTTGTTCTATAACTCCCACGCTGCATGGGAATTCTGACAGTTGTACAAAAAAAAGCACACATCTGCACAGCTCTATTTTTTTTCAGCTGAAACAGTGATAAACAATTTAAAATAATATAGGGGAATCTGTGCCAAGACAAATTCAAAAAATCATTTTGTGGTTATACCCATTTTAAACCAGCTAAAAACGTACAAAAATCTCTGTGCAAGCTTTTGGGATAAAACATTGCCTGACAATAAGAGTCTTTGCAAAGCTTGTACAGAATTTTTTTATTCATTTTTAGTTAACCTGATAAAAGTATTATCTCAAAATGGTTGGGGGCATTTAAAATAGCTACAGGTTGTTATTGAGTCTACAAACTTGTTCAGAAGTGAAAAGCTTATATTGAAAAACATAGGTGTATAAATATACTTAACATTGTTTTGGAGGAAATGCTAATGGATGAAAAGAACATTTCTTACTATGGATTTTATTCTTCATGGCCCACATAGGATTTTCTTACATAATTCAGAGAGCACCTCTCTTTTGGTCAAGGAAGCAGTCAAAACTGTTGCATTAATTGTAAGAGAAAACTCCTTAGAGGAATATGCTTTGTAAAATAAGCTTATGTGGAAAATTCTACAGCTGACCTATTGATGACAAGTCTATTTCTCTCATTGGAAATGCTCAAAGTGGGCAGCTACTGCTCAGTTGCTTAAACTGCACAGTGGAAGGTTAAAGAACTATGCAGAAGTTGTTTGACCTGCACCTGATGCAGAGGGTTCAGGGGAAATGGTTCATTCAATGGAACCTTGATTAAAGTGAAAAGGCAACATTATTTAGGGGAGGAATCCACATCTTGTCACAAGACTAGTTCCCCCCCCCCCGGGGAAAACAGAGTATATGCTTTCCGACATGCCTGTAATGTGGTGCACACGTAACAACATGAGTTAACTAGAGGGAGCACATCCATTTCTTTGCATGTACAAAGGCAGAATCTATACAAGGCAGATAAAAAAATTGGGTGCAACCTGAAGAAGTCTTTGGGAAAAAGAAAAGTTCCCTACCTGTAACTCTGGGTCTTCAAGTGGTCCTCTGTGAATTCACACTGGGTTAATCTGCGCTCGAGCAGAGCAGTTTCGGAAACTTTCACAGCTTTAAGTACTTAGTGCTGGGACCTTCCCTACACCAGCTATATAACTCCGCACCCAGTGCCTCAGTTCTAAGGAACCGACTGCCGCCGCCCAGCATGCCATGGCACATGTGACAGACAGTGGGGAGGAGGGCGGGATGTATGAATTCACAGAAGACCACTCGAAGAACCAGAGTTACAGGTAAGTAACTTTTCTTTGTCCTTCGTGGTCTCTTTTAAGTACACACTAATGGGTGACTGGCAAGCTGACTAACCAGGAGGGATGTCACAAAAGTGTAGAAGCTAGGACAGCTTGACCTATTGCAGTCTGAGCCTTCGGCTGGACATCCAGGCAGTAGTGGGAGATGAAGATAGATGGAGTGGCACATGTGGCAGTGTGGCAGACATCGTGGTGTCTGCTCCATGGAGAAAGGCTGTTGAGGATGCCACAACTCTAGTAGAGTGAGTTCTCACTGACTTTGGAAGAGGACTCTCTGCCAAATCATAAAACCCTAGCAATGGTGGCAGAATTTTATGCTCTCACCTTCTTTCAGTCAGAAGAAGCAATAATAATGGCCATTCATTGGGAGAAGTTTGTTTATGCAGTTACAGAAGAGCACCTTGGAGCCCAATAATTCTAAATCAAATGATCCACTGTCCCAATCCACAAATAAAAAGAAATAAAATAACACAAAATGTTAACAGGAAGTTTCATACAGTGAATTTTACAGTCCCTTCCTTTCAGCAAGAAAAGAATCCTTTTTCTCCTCACAGCAAGATTTCTATTCAAAAGATTTTTCTTCCCAAGAAATCTAGTTGGAAATTTTGCTGGATTTCTTTACAGTTTTTGTGTTCATACTTTCTGAAAGAAACACTTTTATAGTTCCTTCACATAATGGCATCTTTCACCAGAGAGGACATTAAACTATACAGAATGTGGCAGTTTTCCTATAAAGAACAGCAGGTAAGAAAGAAAAAAAAGAAAAGGGTTGGGGGAAGGAGAGCAAGATAGGAGTCATGTTTTCATGAGAAATCTTGCCAAGATTAGTGGAGAGTCTCGGCAAGGCCAAACTTAGAAAAATGCTATGAATGAGGAAAATTTTGATCGCATCACATCCCTGTAATGAAAATAGGTAACTTCTGGTGAGAAGGAATTCCAAGCCACTGAGTGGGAAAGCTGGAACTATACCCTTTGGGCATTTACACTAAAAGGGGAGGGAAAGCTTCTGCCCAAAACCTCAGCTGTAGAATATTCCGGATGAGCTTCTTTATAGGTACAGAAAGAAATCAACCCTGAGTTCTCACTGGAAGGACAGATCCTGAAGCTGAGACTCCAATACTTTGGCCATCTCATGAGAAGAGAAGACTCCCTGGAAAAGACCCTGATGTTGGGAAAGTGTGAAGGCAAGAGGAGAAGGGGACAACAGAGGACGAGATGGGAGAACAGTGTCATCGAAGCAACCAAGATGAATTTGACCCAACTCCGGGAGGCAGTGGAAAACCGGAGGGCCTGGCGTGCTGTGGTCCATGGGGTCATGAAGAGTCGGACATGACTTAACAACTAAACAACAACAACAACAATAGGTACCAAAACACGTGTGTAAGCAAGGTCGGAGCTATCATGAGCCTCCATGAGACAGTTTGTTCACAGATGGGAGATCTAAGGCCACTAGAGCATAGGGGCAGCTTTTTGGCTGAGAGTGGGAAGAGGTTGGTTGGCACAGCAGCTCTGAAGAGTAAGAAGATGAAGAAGATCATGGTGGAACCCACTACATACCACTGAAAAAGAGGCAAAATAGCTCACCCATCTGCTCCATGTGCATTTCTAGTTTGGCCATTTCATGACTAGCTATTTTAAAAATGCCTGGATCTTGGTCAGGAGAGGGGCTTGGGGCGAAGGAGGTTTGGTACAGGATTTTTAAGGGAGCATATCTCCTGCAGCACACCTTGGCAGTAAGGGATCTCTTGTGATAACTGCTACTCCAGCAGGATGTGGGGATACTACTTCCACTGATTTTACTGTCTGCCTAGCTACTCTTTTGGGTGAGTTTTCAAGAAAGATGGATAAGTGGCAAATGGACACCCTTCCTTGCTGTCTTAGGTAGTGGGAGAGTTTACACTGTTCCTGTGTGAGGCTTAGGGAACATAAAGAAAGACATGCAATACTGCTGATATTGCCCCATTTTGATATTGTCCATCTCTTGTTGATCTTGCTTATGAAGAGAGGCTATAAATGCCTGAATTTAGGCAAAGGAAAGAGTAACAAGGGATTTAATTATTATCTCTCAGATATGGAGGTACAGTTCTTAAAATCTTTATAATCTTAGGAGGGGGTTTTCAGGAGAAAGTGTTGCTTCATTCATAAGCACTCTGCTTTCAGACTGCTTGACTAACATACTGCTTGAGTAGAATTTGTGTAGTCAAGCAATGAGTGTGGATTTTTCCTACCAATATTTATGGCACTGGTATTAATTTGTTTTATGGGAACATTTGTGTAAAGTCTTGAAGTGGAAACAAATGTAGGGTATATCCCTTCGAAATGACAGAAAGTGTATAATCTTTCTGCTTAACCCAAGTAGGCCCAGTTTCTGCTAAGATCTGGGGAGAAAAGTTGCCTGTCATAGATCGTGGAAGAACCGTGACACCTCTCAGACTCAGTGACCCTTCCTTGGAAAAAGGTGCTGTTGCCTCCCAAAAGTTGATGAGTCCCAATCCTCCCTGGGACAATCAAGGGCTTATATGCAAGGAGGCGGGGCTTTGTTGTGGTGCTGCCAGTAACTCCAGAGAAGAACTCTCTCTGGAAAAACTGGAACCGTCCAGTCCAGGATCCCCCTTTTGAAATGGGGATCGAAGGAGAGACTAGGAGAAGTCTCTCCGAAGCAGATGGTGAGCAGCAGAAGGAGAAGAATGGGAGGCAGACCCGGACTTCTTCCCTCTGAAGAAATCACCGTGCACGGACCGGAGACGGGGAGCCATATTTATTGGCACTGAACCGTGAGTAACCCTTAACTGGGGGAGAAGAGAACAACCAATATAAGCTTAAAATATATAACAACTAAGTAAGCCGAAGCCTCTGATTTATGAAACAGCCTCATTAAGCTGAAAATAAGAATGAAAATACTCGGCTGAAAGAAGAAAAGCAGCGGCGAGCCTATCTTATCAGTCTACTTCAAAAGTGAAAGTAAATCTCCTACCCAAGTGAACGCTTAATATAGCAGGCTGATTTCAAAGCCAAGAGAGTGAGACGGAAAAAGAAATCTTATGTTTCTGGAAAAGAATCCCAGACGATAACACCATCTGACAAGATTCAAGAGACATTAGTTTTGTGAACACAGTTTGGCTTTGACGTATTTCTCTTTGCCCTTTTCTGGACTTGATGAACTGTTAATAACAGAAATTTGGTGGTTTTCTGGAGAAGAAGGAGCTGATGTGGTCGACTGGACTAAGGACTATCAAGGGGTTAACGAAAAGATCATAAGACGAGCTTCAAGGATAATTACTGAACAATTTGGGACTCTGTGATTGTTGTTTTGCTTGTCGGACTGTCTTGGAGTTTGAGAATAGAAGCCTGCTGAACTCAGGAGAAGAAGAAATAATTGTGACACGGTTCTATTTGATTCTGAATTTGCTGGGTTAAAAGCTGATTTTTATATTATATTATTTGGATAAAGATTGGAGGGAGATTTAAGGGGAGGTTTATGATGAGGGGTTTGGAGTGTTGATAAAATTGTGGAAACTGTTGAAGGATATCTAAGCGGTGAGCATTGTGGTTAAGGGCATAGTATTATCTATACAAACCCCAAAGCCTGAGATGGCCCCCAAAAATCTAAGACAACAAATAGAGACTGGGTCTGTTCAAGCCCAAAGTTTTGGAACAGTGGTACAAGAAATAGAAAAGGAATGGCAGATTACTATGCAAAAGATAATAATAACAGGGTTTCAGCAAGTGAATGAAGGTCTTAGCAAAATAGAGGATTTGATGAAAGTGACGAAAGAGGGGACAGTAGATGCCAAACAAAACCGAAATGAAGTTGTACAAATTTTGAACCGTCTTTATTAGGCATGACACCAGGCAACATAAATGGGACAGAGAGATATCCAGTGACCTATGCAGCTTCTAAAATTAAAAAGCATTATGTTATAATTCTCAGGGAAATAGAGATACTGAAACAAGAGCTTCTTATTGTGAAAATATGAGAAGTGAAAAAAATGTCAGATGGGCTGAAAGATTGTTCAATTCAAAAGGAAACTGAATGATGGGATGTATTGTATAAATGGTTGCAGTTATCAGATAGTGTTGGAGTAACACAGAATCAAACTAAAATTAAATGATAAGATGAAAGCAGGAGGGTAATCAAACTGTGAAAAGGCAAAAAGTTGATTTGTAATTGTAATACGAATTGATTGGATGATGGCATACTTTATGTTCTCCTATCCCCCCTAACCCTTTTTCCCTCTCACCTGTTCCCCTTTACTTCTTGTATTCTCTTCCCCTGTCCTCAAATAAATACTTAAAAATGAAAAAAGGGGGCTTATATGCATGACTGGCAAGAAGAGAAAATGTCAACCACACAAATTCTCCAACAAGAACACTGCTTCCCTGCCACTACAACAAATTAATTTAGGGCAGATAGAGATGCCCATCCTATGTAAATTCATCTGAGGATTTCAATCCTGTTTTATCTCCCAAAGATTTAAGGATTCTCTCTGGAAATTATGGGCAGAGTGATGGGTCAAATAGAAATTCTGTATAAATATCTTACATATTAGAAAGATATTTCAAAAGTTCACTCTTTCCTTTTCCTAGATTGAAGCCTGCAATAAAGAAGCAGAAAAGATAGAATCACTGATCAACTCCGACAGTCCTGCCTTAGCATCCCATGTGCCACTCTCAGCACTTATAGCAGCTCAGGTGGAAATTTCTTTTAAGATTTCTTCTTCATGTAGTCAAATGATGGGAGCACTTCATTCGCTTTTCTGGACCTTAGTGCTCACGTTCTCAGTCATGTTATGTAACATGTAGTAGCCACAAAAAGTGTAATTGCTCAAGTGAGTTTTTGCATTTGATTTGCGAAAGACATTCAGAACTGCCAATGTTAATGTAACATTAACTTTATATCTAAGGGCATAAAACATGGCCAGAATGTTGTACACAATGCCAGCAAAAATGTTTTTCATGACAGTATTAGTGTATAATGCAATATCATCTTAATTGTAATTTAAAATATATAATAGGCAGAAATGCACAGCTTACTCTGGAGACAGTTTTTCAGGGTAGAAGGTGGCTGTTATGTTTGTTGTATATACACTTGTTTTTTCAACTCTTTATTCTTTGTGCAGAAGATTTGGAAGTTTAGTGTTTCAAAAAGCTAACTGGCTGAGGATGGCAACAGGATAAAAGAACTGAACATAACAAACACTGGTATCTCTAGCATACTACTTTATCTCTGGGAAAGGATTTTTTTTCTTGTGTCTCAAGCTTTAAGCTGCAGTTAAATACACAAGAGTCAAAACAGTTTTATCAGCCTAACTGTGCACGGTTACGTGGCAGTCCTTCTGAGCTCATGCTTAACTTTCCTGTGCCATTCCATACATCAAAACATGCAGTTCTTAATGCACTTAGGCCTGATGTATCCAAAGATAGTTATGCATAAAGAGATGTTGGACCCAGCTAGGACAGTATGGGAAAAATTATATATGGGAGTCTTAGATAGGATATAAGAATATGCATTCTTGCTTTATATGAAAAAAAAAGGATGAAAATGTTGGTGCTATTCAGTGATAGCTCAGAGTGCACATTACCACCAATTCACACCAACATCCCCATGTGTAGGCTGACCTACCTACACACACAGTGGCTTCCTGAGCTTACCTGAGGAAAGAAGGATATATCCAGGATATAGATTTCCATATGCAGACCATCTGTTCTGCCTGCCAGTTCTTACTGTGAAGGCAAAAAATTGCTGGATTAAAGTGATTGTTCTCATTTCCTCAAATGAGGAAATTGCTGTGGAAATAATTTTTATATTCAGCAATAGACACATATTTTATAAGATTATTACAAAGTATTATTTTTATATTACTTAGAGGTATATCATTCAGAAAGCTAAACATATGCCTATTTTTGACCATCAATTTCTGTCAGAAACAAAGTGCTGCTACTTAACTAATTTACCAAAAATGAATTGAATAGCTGACTTTTCATGTAAATACATGATGGCTGAAATCCTGCTGTAAAACTCGGCACCTGAAGAAGGATGAGGACAACCTTGGCTATGGGGGTGATTTTCCATAATTAAAAATCTATTTCTATTGTGCAGCTCTTCCAACTCCCATGGATAGAAGGGGGAAGTTTTTGATTATCATTAATGGCTGATGCTGGGTGACATTACCAGCTGCAGGAAATTTTCAGTAAACGAAGATTTCTTGCTTCTGTCCTGCAGCTCCCAGGGTTTTCTCCATGATATCACCCTTCTTCAGGCTCAAGTTACACATGAGGATTTTAGCTGATATATTTTTATTGTGAAGAATAAGCCATAGCCTGATTCTGCAGATAATTACATGTTATTGTAAATTCACATGTGTTCAAAAGCATTTGCAGAATATTGCCACCTTGCATTGTCAATCACATTTCAAGCTGATACCTTTTTGAAATAAGAAATGTATGCAATGTACAAGTTGATGATGCAAATAGTTTACTCCGACTTACTTGTAGAAGTAATGTGATGAAGAATGTTAAGCTATTTATACACGTCATTCTAGTTACAACAGTATTTCCTTATTATTGAAATGTACATTCCTAGTGTTAATATTTTATTCAGAACATATATTTAAAAGATGTAGGGCCCAATGCAGCAAGGGGTTCTCTTGTATAAACTCTGTCAATGAAGTGTTGAAGAGCACAGGAATGATCTTGTACAGCTCCCATTCACTTAAATTGGATTTGCATAGGAGACCTCCTTGTTTATTGTTCCCTATAGTTTTGTGCACCTGAACTTTATCTACATGAAGTATTTTGTATCAGTATTATGATAATTAACTTTCGAAGTATACGTAGGTAGCATCATTTTTGCCAAATCGTTGAACTTGAAAAGAAGGCAATGAATATTAATTTCAATATTGGTGTTGTTGTCAAGTGTTTTGTGGCAAGTGTTTGCTTTGATTTTTGCAAAAACAAAAAGAATGTTTGCAATGCAATATAAAAGCTTTTATTTTAATAAAATATTTTTATGTTTCCAGGTGTCCTTTAAAAATGTGCAATTTTACAATTGAAGATACATGGTGGTATTTGTTTTTTCACGTGATGGGGTGGGAGTCATCTTTAATTTTAAATGACATGAAGGCATGTAAAGTACATGTTCACTCTTTATCAGGGCAAGACAATAATTATCCCATTTCATTATAAAAGATTATCTGTTTTACTCAATCATAATTTGTGTTAAAATGAAATCCAGGGTTTAAAACTATGCATACATATCTTTAAGACCCTTTGCTGTGAACTGTATACTTGCTATTGCTTTCAGTTTTGATCTGATTTATGTAATAGGGAAATTAGCAGAAGCACACAAGGAAAGAGAGTCCAACTAATAAATATTAAACAAAACTTGGAAAAAGCTATTTCTAAGACTACAATTCCTAGCCCAAGCCAATATGGTCACTAGCAAATTCTGGAGATGGCAATTTATTTGATTAAAAAAAATTCAAGTTCTGATCCTAAACCAAATCTTTATTGAAGAGGCACTGTGGGAATTATGACTGTCACATCCTTCCGGCAAAATAGTTTCTATCCAGAACTTGCAGAGTAGGAGAAGCATATAGAAGGAAGGCAGCTATTGTATTTAATCTTTCACTTTAGTAAAGGAGAATTCATCTGGTGCAGGTTTTCTTATGTTTGCATAAGTTCCTTCTGTCAAATTTCACTTTTCTGCAGTTAGTGAGAGTAAAGAACTCTGTCCTCTCTGCATCTACAGATTCTATACAATATACCGAAAGCATGTTAGTGTAGTTAAGAGAGGAAAACAATACCAAAGAAAAAGAAAGAATGAGTGAAAGAAAGAAGGCAAGGGTGGGAAAAATTAAAATTGCAGGAAAAAACTGTATGGAAAACTAAAATTCTTTAACCTTAGAGACCCATGATTATTTGATTATTCTGCCTGGGCTCTTTTTGCATTTTCCTAGCTTGTATGCAATGAGTTTCTTAATCCTTTACCAAATACTACTTCTGAAAGTTGAATGGCTTTTAGAAATAGCCTGAACGGGTGAGGGACTCCCAGCAGAAGTGAACATTGGGCAAGTTTCCATACATGAGCTGAAGTGTTTTGGTTAACTTTATAAAAGATACTATATAACTCAGTAAGTTAGAAAAACAATGAAGTAACTTAGTAGAACCACCCGAAGACAGTGACTGCTATTGATGGCATAATCTGATTTAGGCTATTTGCGTCATCAAGCAGTAAAAAATATATTAAAAAATATTTTAAAAAACATTGAAAGCATGTCATTTTTTGATACATACTTAAGTAATGGTGTTTTAGATAAGCATTTTTATATTGAAATGATGTAGTACGGTTTTACAGTTTTAGTTTTAAACACACAATAGAAGTTACAGGATTTGTGTAGATTACTGCAGGATCAGTTGTATACCATAATTTTTCATTTGGCTTTGAGTAGTTAGGCAGTAGTTCTAGAGCACAACTGTGGTCAAATTTCTACTAAAGTCTATAAAGAAAATGTTATAAGTTGTGATTGTGAGGAAGACTGTGCTTCTATCTCATTTGTGTCAGTCTGTGCGTGTTTCTCTAACTGCACATTCATATACAACTTTGAAGAACCTCACTCACAACTAGGATAGTTTGCGTGTCATTATGTCAACTAATTTCTGCTGATTGGGTTGCAGGTCCTTTTGAAGTCAATTACTTTCTTTTTCCCAAATGGGTGGTGCCTGGTCTTCAAAGCTGGTCTCCAATTCACTTGGTCCTGTTTGGTCAGGTGAGAGATTTCTTACAGGTGTGGATGCTTCTATCACTTCGTCATTACTTAATAATCCCTTGGATTCTTCTTCTAAAAAGTCAACTTTGTTTATTTGCACTTTGATAGGATTTAGTTTATTTCTTTGGTCTTTAATTTCCTCATCACTTGCAATATTTGCAAATGCCTTCAGCCTCCTCTTCTGTTCAGATTCTGCCTCTCTGATGTACTGGGCTGCTATAGTTTTTTTGCAGCATTTAGTTAAGATGCTGTGAGAGAGAATGTGAGAACAATGATTAGAGACAATATTATAGGTGAATAGGTGTAATATAGACCCTATACTGCAGATTTATTGTGATCTTGCTCTATTGTAGTAGACATTCATAAATAAAGCAGTTTGGAATCAGCTTCTTCAAGAGGACCTAAAGTGGCTTACAGTATTTAAACAAACTGGAAACAACCCCTGTTTTTCAGACCCCCACATGCAGTCATTGAGAAAAAGCCAGTTTGAAGAAAAAGGTCTTTGCCTGCTTGTGGAAGGAAAGCAAAGAGAGGGCCAGCCTGGCCTCCTGTGGGAGATATTTAAACAAACTGGAAACAACCAAAGTCCTGTTTTTCAGACCCCCACACGCAGTCATTGAGAAAAAGCCAGTCTGAAGAAAAAGGTCTTTGCCTGCTTGTGTATTTAAACAAACTGGAAACAACCCCTGTTTTTCAGACCCCCACATGCAGTCATTGAGAAAAAGCCAGTTTGAAGAAAAAGGTCTTTGCCTGCTTGTGGAAGGAAAGCAAAGAGAGGGCCAGCCTGGCCTCCTGTGGGAGGGAATTCCACAACTTGGGAGCCAAGACCCTCTTTCATGTCCTCAGCAAATGTGCCCGTGCATAGTTTTGTACCCATTGAAGCTTCTGAACACTTTCCAAAGACAGCTCAATGTAGAGCTTGTTACAGTAATCCACAGGGATGTAGCTAAGGCATGCGCCACTGTGGCCAGATCAGACATATCCAGAAATGGGAACAGCCAGCTCATTACTTTTAACTGTGGCAATCCTGGCCACTGCTGAGACATGGGCATCCAAACTCATAGATGAATCCAGGAGTGCACCCAAACTGTGAACCATTGTTTTCAAGAGGAACATAACCCCCTCTACCACAGACTGAAACCTTATTCTCTGATCTGCTTTTCAACTGATTAGGAGCACCTCGGTCTTGTCTGAATTAAGCTTCAGTTCATTCATGCTCAACCAGTCCATTATTAACTCCAGATACTGATTTAGAACTGGAACACCTTCCTTGGGATTGGATGGAAAGGAGAGATAGAGTTGGATGCCATTCACATACTGATGATGCCAAATCCCAAAACTGGACAACCTCTCCTGGTGGTTTCAATGTACAGCGTCATATCCACTGTTTCAATTATTGTGGTTTCACATGGTTGGCCGCAATCCAAAATGAAAGACAGGTCCTTCATCCTCTCCCCCGTCTGCCTCTTCTTCCAGGGAGTAGCATCACATCCCCCTGGAAGCCATTTCAAGGTGTGGAGCAGAGTCAAAGCATTTCTTCCAGCTGGACAAGTTGCTGGTAGCTCAAGGTCTCCTCAGTGCCTCACTCCTTGCCTTCTTTCCACTTGTCTCAGCACAAAACAGGAGCAGTGCTTGTTGCTCTCACTCAGGCCCTGACACATTGAGGTGGAATGTGATATGTCACCTATGGAGGGCCAGAAGAAAGGCAGCACCTGTGCACTGAATGACTTCCTCACAACCCAGCGGCAGCCCTTTGCTTTTGAGTTGAGTTTGCTAGCATTCGCTACTGTCTGTAGTTTCAGGCATACATGTGTGGGAGATTGGAACCAATTCCCTGTGGTTACAGGGGTCCTGCTGTATATGTTAAATAGCACAGAGGATGAAATGAAACCCTGAGGGACACCAAAAGCCAACAACCAGCACCACCTTCTGAGCTCTCCCCTCCACAAAGGACAGTGCCTCCAAGTCTCATCCTAGATAAATGGCTTTGAGAGAGATCGTGGTAGTGAAAATTGTTGAGAGGTCCAGCAGAATGAAAAGGGGTGCACTCCCCTGTCCAATTCCCAGAGCACATCACCCCGCTAAGGTGACTAGAGTCATAAACAGGTCTAAACCCAAACTGAAAAGGATCTAGATAATCCATGTTTACCAGGAAATTCCTGGACCTGAGAAGAAGCAACCTGCCTTAACCAAGAATGGAACATTAAGAGGCTAGGCAGTAATAATCTAATACTATAGGACTCAAAGAGGGCTTTTTCAGCAATGGTCTTACTATTACCTACCTTAAGCACACTGGGATCCTACCTGCTGGAAGAAGGCATTCACATTCCTACCCACTCAGCTAGTTTTCCCCCAGGTGACTCTTATATTTTCTTCTATTTTTCCTTTCGTCATGGAATGGAGGGCCTGCCTTCCCAGCGAGGGGCCACAAAACATCTCTGTGATTACGGGTAGAGGGCGATATGGCTTTGGCTCCGTCCCTACTCGTGTTAGAAGAACTATGAACAGATGTTTAAAGGCTGTTCCTTGTTCTGAGACGGAGACCAACCCCCAGTACCGAGGTAGCCAGACCAGCCAGCCCTCTACTCTACGCCTGGTGTTGTTGAATGCCAGGTCTGTATCTAATAAAACCCAGCTAATTTACGATCTTATTCTGGAGGAAGATGCAGACCTGGCTTGCATAACC